CACTTGGTAATTCTATTGATATTTCTGTTGCGTCATACTTGTTACTGAAATATTCAAGCAATATACAGTGCATGACATTAAGGGGGCCATCTAAGCTAATTTGCAGATGGCCCTGAGCCCAATAGAGATTGCCCTGAAAAATGCGCGCGGACGAAATGACGCACGAAGGGTTTGGGGGGCCTCCCCCTAGAACATTTAGATTTGTGCAGGTCTTAGATGCTGTCTGGTGCATTCTCTAGACTGAATTATAAGATGAACACAACAATATTATATTGTTCAATTGTATTCTTCATTTCACTTGTTTGTTTGTTCTTGTTTGTGTTTGCTCCTTGCATGCCCTGCAGCTATAAGAAATACTTAAGTTGTTGGTCAAGACACTTTCTATCTGATGAAGGCAGATGCCTTCCCAGATGGAAACAAGTAGAAAACATTACATTCAGTTATAACTGCCAAAACAAACATTATTTACACTATTATGGCCCCTGTTAAAAATGTTTGTAATGTTATCTACTGTAAGTTGGTCGAACGAATGCTTCCTCATCCGGAAGCTGACCGAGCAGACCCGAGCAGCAGTCGAGAGGAGCCGAGCGCATCCGCGAAGCACACAAAATGGCGACGTCAGAGATCCCGTTAGCCGGCAAATCTAAATCTCTTCGGTCAAAATAATTTCCCTTTAGCGCAATACCGCTTCAGTTGCGCCACTTATGTGACAGACAAGAAGAGTATGTGACAGACAAGAATAGTTAATTATAATGTCTAACACTTCATGTGGAGAAAGAGATGTCCTGTGTGGGTTGATTGTGCGTTGATCTGTTGGTAATGCCTCAGGGTTTCCGGTGGGCATGTAAACAAATGCATAATGCTGCGCTATACTTTGTGGCCTCACCCGGTTGCATAGCGACGCTTATTGTTTAGGTGTCTTTTAATAAGCAGGTAGTCATATCATTAGCTAGAACTAGCTGGATCTGATCGATATGGACATAAACGCGAGTGAAGTCTAATCTGACGGGAGAGAGAGATCAGCTGCTGCTGAAGAGTCGACACGCAGCTCTGCATAATCACCTGCAGCGGTGAGCGGACAAAACACACACTTCAGGTTAGAATATCACACGTAGCTATTTTAATGACCTCTCAAACTACCTAAACTAGTTATATACATGTTTAGTTTTACTGTCGGGTCACTCATTACTGGATCCGCGAGCTGCATGATACTGGCATAATAGATTGCCCGATCGTGCAGTCCTTAATGTCGAGCCCTGATATAAAATAACATATAACCTTGTTTTCCCTTAAATCCTTTGGGTATTTCTTGTTTGTATTAGTTACAGGAACAAACAAAAAATACTGCCCTAATTAACCGATAACCTGCCCATCTAAATAAAGTAACTGAGGCATGAAAGCAATCTACGTCCCCGGCCAAGTCGGCTTCTTTGCTTTGTTTGTTATTAAATGTGGATAAATACACTGTCAATGTGGTAGACTTTATGTCTGTTCACTGGACACGCACAGTCTCTAGATGCTGATAGAAACAAAAAATCTTTTACCAGAAATATGAGTCAGAGAATATTCTGGATAAGGGAAGTAGTAAAAGGCGCTTTGTGTGTAGACGTGTTAAATCACACTTTCTTTTATTTCATAATGTTGTTGAAAGTTTCGCCTTTTAGTAATAAGCTTGTTGCTGGAATGCAGGTCAATGCAGTACTGAGAGAGACTGAGTAGAGTGAGTGTGTGTGTGTGTGTGTGTGTGTGTGTGTTCTTAGTGTCTCACCCTTTCTCTCCCTCACACGGCTCCCTCACTCTCTAAACGTGCAGGCTGGTATGTTTCCTTTCCCTCGGGATGGCCCAGATCTGACAACATCTAGGCCTACACCCCGTGCAGGAAACCCATCCCACTGAGACAAGTAGCTTAGCAAGTGTGTGTGTGTCTCTGTGTGTGTGTGCCACGCTGCTGCCAGCCCTTAATACAAACAGGACGTATTTTAAGGAGTGAACACATGTACTTAATTCAGAGTATTTCATTTTACACCATAATCCCAGGAAGGTAATGGCGTATATATTTTTCCTTCCTGGGAATATTTTGAAGCTTATTTACACTCGAGCCGTATTTTCTCATTAACCTTGTAATGCGCTTGCCCCCTGCTTTGTCACCGGTATCGATTTTGTCCAATACTGCAATATCCACCACTGCAGAAGACATTAAGGGCCACTTAACATCGCCACAAAATGTTGTCGTAATGGCTTTTCTGAGAAATTCAGGTTCACTTAAGGACAACTCAAATCATTTTTGGATAAGTGTTTTTCATTTGTCGGATGGATTTTGTTCCGAGAAGAGGCTTCTCGCTAAGGTCAAAATGTTAAAAATCCTCAGTGATGTCTCTTCTTTCTCTCTTGCCTCACACCATCCTTTTCTCCATCTCCCCATTATTCTCCTTCTTTACCTACACTGACACTTTCTCTCCAGATCCCTTGCCCGACATTCTTCCTATCCTTAAGTGTCTCAGTGGTATTTCTATCTATTCATTTTTTCTTTTCACGCTTTGAGAGGAAATTGCTTTGAGAGGAATTGTCTTCCGATAATGAGCACAGCAGAGGAGCTGATGAGAATGACCTCTGATTCAGATGTTGTATAACAGTCTGAAAGGTGAAAAACAGCAGCGGATGAGGTGATTTCTACCCGACCGCTCTTGAACCACTCTTTCGTCTCAGTTATTTTACCTATTATATAAAATCCACTTTTTCATGTCTTTTATACATACACATGTCCTCTCTGTGTAAAGAGATTCTATTTTCGTCCCATTTATATAAAACCTGGCTGAAAATGAGCCGATCAGATTTTGGCTGCTGTGACACCCCCCCCCCCCCCCCCTTATCACCTGAATCTCCTCCTATGCCCCTTTCAGACCAACGCGGTTCCAGGGCCGGTTCGGAGCTGGAGCTTGAAAAGCACCGGGTTTTCCTGTTCACACCTCAGCGGAGCAGCCTCTTAGCTCCGGAATCCGGTTCGTTTCAAGCACCAAAAAATTGTCCGGCTAGAGCAAAAGCACCGCATACGTCACGCTTACGTCGAGGCGGGGGCAGGGGCGGGATCAACTCCTGAACAACAACAAAAAGCCGGCGTTTTATCCAGTTTGTACACAACGATGGAGAAACTTAACAAGCAGCAGTGGTCCACTGAAGAGACCAGCTACCTACTGGAATCTGGTCTTCCGGAGAGGTACAGAGGAAGCTGGAGCACAATCGGCCATTGTTGTTGTTGTCGGTGTGAGCTGTGAGGGGTTTCCGCGCGGTTTGGCTTTATGAAGCAGGCACGCAAACGGTTACGTCATGACGCAAACGATGACGCAGCACCAGTCGGACTCTGGGCTGTGTGGAAAGAGCCGGAGCTAAACCGAAGAACCGGTTCTGAACCTGAAAAGCTCTAGCACGGAGCTTGAACCGGAGTTGCGTTGGTGTGTATGAGGTATGAGCTCCGGAATCCGGTTCGTTTCAAGCACCAAAAAGTTGTCGCTCTAGAAAGCAAGCACCGTATGCGTCATGCTTACGTCAGATCTGGGCTGTGTCCAAATAACACGCGACATCCACCAACTTTTGGTAACGGTAACGTCATGACGCATACAATGACGCAATGACGCAGCACCAGTCAGGCTCTGAGCGGTGTGAACAGAGCGGGAGCTGAACCAAATAACCGGTTCCGAAGCAGAACAGCTCTAGCACTGAGCTAGAACGGGAAAAGCCTTTGTGTGAAAGGGGTACTAGAGCACCTTTGTGTTCTTTTTAACCAAATATCTCTCAGAGGGGAGTGGCTCCTTATTTTCATCTGAAGTAACAGACACAGAATCAGCATTTTTGAAACAGGGCTGAAACAGAGGGGATTATGGGACGCTACAATGCATGATCAGTTTGGTATTTTGACCAAACACTTCAGAGACATGATTTGTATAAATCCGAGACCTATAATATAATGTTGAAAAAGAGTATAAAAGGGGACCTTTTAAGGCTGGTAATGTAGGATTGGCTTTACCTCTTCATCCTGTTATAACTGCGGAAATGTATTTATTAGGGCTGTCAGTCGATTAAAATATTTAATCGCAATTAATCGCATGATTGTCCATAGTTAATCTTGATTAATCGCACATTTTTGATCTGTTCTAAATGTACCTTAGAGGAATATTTTTCAAGTTTGTAATACTCTTATCAACATATGAGTGGACAAATATGATTTATGCTAATGTTTATTATCATTTGAACAATGACAAATATTCTCATGAATATTAAACACAACAACCTCTGAACATTACAAATATTCGCCTCAATTCAACCTGGAACCTCTCTCATACAATAATACAATACAAATGGTGTGTGTGTGTGTGTGTGTGTGCGCGCGCGTGTGTGTGAGTGTGTGTGTGATGGATCGTTGGAGCTATGTGCAACTCAAGGCATATGCTCGAACGGGAGCTGCCTGGACGCTGCAATCATGTTGCGCACTATCCGTGCTGAGTGTGCTGACTTTTCGTACAATGTCCCACTGTCTGGCTGCCTGCATAAAGTCAAGTGCTCGGCGCAGTTGTGGCGAAATGTCGCTCCTCTGTTTTCATTTAAACAGCTCCATATCCGTTAGCGCAACTAGCTAGCACCAGATGCTAACAACAACAATGCACGTAAGGTCTCTCTCTCGCTCGCTCGGGCCACACATACACACACCCTCCCGGTCCTCCCAACAGCCAGTCGGTGCCTGCCGGTGAGCGTGGAAGTGTGGTCTGCCACAAGCGGGCGGCAGGAGCGGGGCTGTCAGCATCAGCTTGTAGATGGTATTTTAAACTCGATGCGCTCTGAAACTACGGGGCGGCCGAGGACAAAAAATACACATGCGTTAATCGCGTTAAAATAATTAGTGGCGTTAATTTTTTTTTGCGTTATTAACGCGTTAACTTGACAGCCCTAGTATTTATATAACTTTCATTTAAAGTAGGTGTCCAATGTGTCAATGATTGCCTCAACAGGTTAACAACTATGTGCAGGACAGAGAGGAGCTCAACCTGATTCATCCCGCCAAAAAGCTCCTGCTGTCTCTTCCTGGATGTGTGTGTCTCAGGGAGTCTCGCTGGCTATCCAACGCTGTCAGCAGCAGCAGCCCAGCCGGACCGGACCCTCACCCCCGCCTCCATCACTGCTACTGTCAGCCTTTCTATCCACATAGGTTTGTAGCCATTTTCGTCTTATTTAGTATTTCTTAATGTAACATCCATTTTTTTGGCCCATCATGTTTAGAAGAAAACCTAAAGAGACTGGAACTGTGTTTGGTATTAACAGTTACACATTTAGACAATTAATAAAGGTTGAAAGCAGCATTAAACTTGACAAATGATAGGCAAGGCAAGGCAAGTTTATTTATATAGCACTTTTCAACACAAGGCAATGTGCTTTACAAAAAATAAATACTGTTTCTTATTGTCTTATGACATCTGTGTTGGTCAAACGGACTGCACCTTTGGTTAGAGAGGTCACTTAAGAAATGCTCTCTATAAACCAAGGATAATATATTGAAATCTTTGCACTTGGCACTATAGATCAAACCAAACAATCAACCAACTTGACTGTATCATCTTTAAGGAATCATGATGAAAAACAATGATTAAAGTATAATAATGAAGATTAAGTTAGGATATGTGGGACAGACAGTACATGTAAGAGGGTGAGCTGATGAGTAAATGGGAAGTAGTTCAGTATGAAATGCAAGAGTCTCACTATGCAGCTCTCTTAATGTACAAGTGGGACATTTAAACTGGATTTAAAAATCAACGGGAAGCCGGTGAAGACAAGTGATGTAAGACAATAAGAAGGCTGCCATGCTGCAGCATTCTGCCCTGAATGTCTTAGAATCACAGCCAAATTAAAAGACTCTTCGTTGTTTCCACTTTCTAGGTTTTATCGTGCCTGTGTGCAGAGGACGTCGGCGTGCTCCCTGCTGACCGGAGCCCTGCTGGAGGCCACAGCAGCTCTCGGGTCCCGCTCCTCTCTGCCCTGCCCTTTACCCCAGATCCCCAACTGCCACGCCGTGCTGAAAGGTGGGTGTCATACTTCAGTAGAACATGTCTATATGTGTGTTTAAGTGTGCAAACCCAACAAATGTATTGATAAACAAACAGTTTTACATCATACAACATGTGTTCCAATAAAAGCCCAATTCGTACATACAGTATGAAAACCTGATGACAAGTGAAGCAGAGACTTTGGGGAGAACATCTTTGTGTCTGTTTGATTCTGAGTGAAGAAGATTCTCACTGTTCCCCTGTGGTCTACGGCTCCAATCTTTTCTCTCCCTCTCCGTTCTTTTCCCACACTGCTCTTTACTACCCACAGCGGGTTTTGGGTCGGCACATCACGTCCGTAGTTGATCCCAATGGTCGCACTTTCCTTCTTCTTTTCTCTATATTTCCTTTGCTGTCCTTTCTCACTACTTATACCATCCTTTCCCACTCTCTCCTTTTCTCTCTCCATCTCTCTCTGCTCCATTGTACAGTTTAGACACACATGCACACACAACGCTAAAGTGGTGTAAGACGCACAGGAAGAAGAAAAAGCCTTCTGACATCACAGTGTCCACTTAACACTGATGCACACGCACACACCAGGTTATGTCTGAACATCTGAAAAGAGGTGATATGCACTTCAAACGTACTCCTCTCTAAAGCTCAGGAGGGATGTTTCAAATGTCTATTAGTGTTTTTATGTAACAAGCACACACATGTACGGCTGATTTTATTGTACATAAACTACATAGCAGAATCTCTCTGTCCTGGTGAGAAAGACATGAAAAGTAAATGATGAAATGTAATGAGACAATCTAAATAGACACATCCGCATCATGTAAATTGTATCTCACCCTTTCTGTGTCTCCTCTGCCTGACTTTGCACATGACTTCATTCTCCAGCCAATCAGGTTGTCGCTCTGTTCCTCAGCTGGTAACTCTCTGTCCACCTTCTCTACAATCATGTTACGTATGACATAAATGTAAGCCGATCCTGACATTAACTACAACTGGCTTTGGTCCAGGGGACAGGCTGTCTCTGACGAGATCAAGGAGACGCACACGCACACGCACACACACACACACACACACACACACACACACACACACACACACACACACACACACACACACACAACACACACACACACACACACACACACACACACACACACACACACACACACACACACACACACACACACACACACACACACACACACACACACACACACACACACAGAGACATGATTCTTTGTGTGTGTCTCTCTGTGACTTGCTATATTATTATCAATCATGTTGACAAAAAAACTTAATGATTTATCAGACAAGCTAATGGAGTAAAAAAGAAATATCTTAGACACACACACACACACACACACACACACCCCCACACACACACACACACACACACACCCCCACACACACACACACACACACACACACACACACACACACACACACACACACACACACACACACTCATACAGCACATATCTTTACCATGACATCGTGTTCTGTTCTAATAGGTGTTGCGGGGAACAGAATAGAGGCAGACACGCACACACATAGCAGCTTAGAAGTCTTGGCAGGACTCGGACTTCATATGCACACACACTGCGCATGAGCATTACCTAAGACAAGACATATCAACTTGTTTTTAAAGTTATCTGTTTCCCATCTGACATTCCCCTCTGCCTTTTTCAAGCATGGAAACCACCTGTGTGCCATTTGAAATATTTGACATTTAGTTTTCCAGAAAGCTGTTTCTGAATCCATACATGAAAATGTTCCTGTTCCAAAGATTTAGATTTGTCTGAAATCTTGAAAAAATTCAACAAGATGAGGCATGTTTTAGTTTAAGACATTGTTTGTAAAGTGAAAATAATTATTATTAAGACTTTTGATTATCCTGGAGTTTTTGGAAGGTATGACGTACTGTAAGATTCAAGTGAGATCGTGCTTGTGCAATTCCTCTATTCAGTCTTTTGACATCATAACCTGCTATTATTCTATGTTAGTGAAAAAGCTCTTTTTAAATCTGACTTGTGTTATTTAGTTTCAAATGGATATGCACAACATAAGATCCATTAAAACCTGCCAGCAGAAATAAGTGTGAATGGACTACGATTCTGAAGGCGTTTTAAAGATTAACAGACAAAGAGCCTGCGTCTGTGTATTGATCGCACAACCTTGAAAATAAGATGTTCCATTTGCCCCGTTGAATAACAGAACTTTCTTTTCTTTTTAGTTCTTACCAGTGTTTGCTAGCTTTTCAAACTGAATCTAAGGTTCAAGTTGTCATATAAAACTGACATGGTTGAAATAGACATTAATAAACAGTGGTAGAAAATGAAATGTTTTCATCCAAGGTCTCTATACATTCGCTCTCCTCTTTCTTTTTGCCTTCGAAAAAAGGATGAATAAAACCTATTTATGGTGGAGGTAATTGCGTATCACAGAAGGACTTCGTATTGATAAAAAAATGTGTTTGTGCCAGCAGTCGTTTTACATTCAGGATAGTCTTTACACTAATAGAAAATCAAACTGGTTGAAGTGGTTTCAATTGTCATATTCAATGTCCTTGCGCTTCATATTTTCGATAAAGTAGCTAAAATAATTGCATTAGTTAAGTATATATTTCATAATAACAAGTTTTTTTACTAATCGTTAGGGCCCAATAAGTCAGACTATGTTATATGGAGGTTGTTTTTATGACAAAACACCTCAATTTCTTTATGTTTTCATTCCTATTTTCATTGCTTTCCCACCCTGTATTAACAAGGTTTTTTGGATTCAGTATAGTGGTAGCAACACTTGGACTTGAAGTCAAATGTTAATTTTTTTACAAAAAGGCTCTTACATAGATACTAAAACTACCAGGATAATCTCCTTGCCAACCGTGGTATATTCTTAGAGTTTAAAGTGGTGAGTGAGAGGTGAAGTGTTTAGACGTTCCTTACATGCATCATCCATCGTCATGATCTGAAAGCATTTTGCTGGTTCCTCTGATGTGTGTGAATGACAGCAAAAGCTTGCTTTGGTAGCAAAGCAGTCATTTGGTTGAAGTAGCAGGTCAAGAGAGATGTTTTGGAGAGATAAATGATGCTTAACAGGTTGAGTTGACACATGTCTGGGTCATTACCACAGGTTTTTGTAATGACTAGCAACACCTATAAAGACAGATTCAGATTGTTAATGGGGTGAGACAAGGGTAGGGTCAAGGTTGTTTTTCTGTGTTAAATATGGTTGATCTTCAAGCCTTTGAGAGGAATAGTTTTCATTAAAGCATACTGTATGTTTGAAAATGCATTTGTTTTAAGTACTTTTAATGTAAGCATGGGTTTTGCAATACCCATGATCAGTTTGGTCATATAAGTGTATACATGCATTGCTTATCAAAATAATGAAGCGTGCCTTTAGGTCTCTGGAGTTTTTGACAAATTGTGGATGTCTAATTTCGGGATGAAATGCCTTCCTCTCCCGTTGACCCCTTTACTCTCGAGTATACACAGTTTGTAATTACTGAAGAAAAACTCTACTAAGGACCACTGGGATTTAGCCATTTTCATATGAAATGTAAATGGGAGTGGTTCAAGTGCTTTTCTTGACCTCGTTTCCTTTGTAGCACAATTTAGTGTACTGCTAAAGGAAGTAGCAAGCTCAGCAATAGACTGATGTCTTTCTTTTTCCCTCCTTCTTTCTTTCTCTCTCTTCCTCTCGGTCCACATTGTACATTGTGTTGCCTGCTAGCACTGACAGCAGATGTGGTGGGGAATCAAACTGAAGGGAAGTCTCAAGGATTTCGAGAGCACATATTGTTTACATGGCCATAATTGCTAAAAATACTTATCTGAACGCATTAAGGCTGGACTATGACTTTTTTCTTCACATGTGAACACTAGCTAAGATAATATTTTGACTAAGATACCGGTTGGACAACCCTGATAGCTCTTGTTTTGACAAATAACAGCATGTCTTTGAATGTGGTTATATTGTTACACCTAGGTTGCTCTTTTATTGTAGCAGACTTAGTTTTTTTAGACATCTTTTCTAAACAAATGATACATAATAAGTATTTCAGTGAATCTTACTAAGGTAATGTGCCTTATCCAACATACACATACAGTCTGGGAAAGAGTTTTTGTTAAGTCCTTAGTTTGCTTTACTTGTTGTTTTAAAACCCAAACACTCAAATTAGCTTAATGTAAAACAGAAAATGCAAAACATCTTCAGATTCAAAACACTGTGACCCAAGAATACATGTAGATTTAAATTGGATTAAAGTATAATATATATGGATTTTAATTACTACTTTTTTACCATGTTGTATTTTAGTGTTGCCTCTGTGTTTAGTGTCCTGTCTGTCTGTAACTTTGTGTGATAGTGTTACCACTGACAGGTCTCTCTTGAAAATGAGACCTTGTGTCTCAATGAGATCTACACCTGTATAAATAAAGGCTAAATAAAAAAAATAAATATATATAGTTGGGTGGTTAATTGGTGTTATGATATTTCTGTCAATAGAATAAGCCACTTATTGTTTCAGCTCTTGTGCAGTAACCACAAAAAGACATTAAATACTTATTCAGAAGTATCATATAAACACTTCAGTTATCAGCACCTTACTGCGACTCATAATAGGAATATTCCTTTCCAAATATAAAAATAAAAACAATTTAAATTCAGTGATCCTGTGTATAATAGGATACTATGAGAAAAAAAGATGGGGGGGACATTTTTTTGAATCTATTGTTATTGCCTATGTCTCCTGCACTCTGTCCGTATGTGTGTGTGTGTGTGTGTGTGTGTGTGTGTGTGTGTGTGTGTGTGTGTGTGTGTGTGTGTGTGTGTGTGTGTGTGTGTGTGTGTGTGTGTGTGTGTGTGTGTGTGTGTGTGTGTGTGTGTGTGTGTGTGTGTGTGTGTGTGTGTGTGTGTGTGTGTGTGTGTGTGTGTGTGTGTGTGTGTGTGTGTGTGTGTGTGTGTGTGTGTGTGTGTGTGTGTGTGTGTGTGTGTGTGTGTGTGTGTGTGTGTGT